TGAATAAGAAGAAAAAAAATCTGTCAGATATATAAGAAGACTTATGAATTTTGGTATCAAGGGCATTTGTTTTCAGCATCATGGAATGTAGTGTTTAAAAGTACTTTAAAGTTAATGTAGTGCAACTGTTAGAATTTAGAGTTGAGAATTAAACATCAAGACTCAATGAGTGTCTGTTACTTTTCTCTTGTTACTGGAACAAAATACCCGACACCCAAAATTAAGGAAGGAAAGGCTCATGTAGCTCATAGTTGGTGGAGGTTTCAGGTGCAGTAGCTGGCTCCAAGGCAGGGTGGCGTGCACAGGGGCAGCAGTTCAAGGCGGCAGAAGACAGCAGAAGCAACAGGAGCAAATGGGAGAAACAAGCCTCTTTTCCTCCCTTGTAAGCAGGCAGCCCCCAACCCTGGGAGCGTAGCACTCACACCATCTCTGAGCCCTCCTCTTGCACAGGACGAGGGTGTTTATAAAGAGTACCCTGGTCCCTGCTGAGCCACTTAGTTAGCCTTTAAACTTCTCAAGTTGACACAGTGTATCAATTGTAACAAAGTTATATGGTGGTACAGTTAGAAGAGAGCTGAAGAGGGTAGTGAAATCCAGATCTAGAATTTATTTTATAGCATTAGAAATGACATGGAAAGGCTGTACTTTAATTCTCTGTGTGCAGTGTCTTCCTCCGTTCCTGTCTTCCTTTCTCTTTCACATGCCACTGCAGAGAACTGTGGGCACACCGTCCAGCAGGCAGGGTAACAGCGCAGACTCCTGGGATCCGAGGCTTACCAGCGCCACCCAGCGCTCCTGCCTAACGCTGCTCTAACCACTCCCACCCACTGCTGCACCTATCCCAGACAGGCGCTTTCCTCCCCAGATATTTACTTGTGTATCTCATCAATATAAGAATTTTAAAAATATTAACTGAGTATTACTGTGTCTAAAGCGCTGACAGTCCTTATTGGGTCAGGGTCTGCATTTCCAGGGGGGGATGTGCTCCGCCTGTGCCCTTCCCTGTGAGCTGTGCGCCTCCGTGGCCGCCCTTCTCTCTGCCTACATTTTTCCCTCAAC